ACCCAGGGGAGGACATCCACCACACAGTAATCTTGTGTGTCAGGGAAATTAACGTCTCCTACCCCTAACCCTGCAGAAGACGGGGCCTACGGTTTATTCATCCTTATCCGAGAAGACTAGTACATCTGTCCATTTCTTGATTATAAAAGGTAGAAATTCTCCTCACTTATTTTAAGACCACGAGTATTGGTCCTGCCGGGGCTCGAACCCTCGACCTCCTGCACAACACAATCCAGCACTCTAATCAATTGAGCTAACTGGGTATGGTTCACCACTACCATTCTCTTTTGCTTTGTTTTATCTTAAATCCATTTAAATATACAAAAGTAATGTCTCCCCAATAGAAAAGGAAAGATAGGAAAGATAGGAAAGATTTACAAGCAAAAACTAAACCTCTAAAAATATTCTTACATGGCGTATTCAAGTGTAGAGGTCTTTTTTTTTTTTAACAACTTTATTGACCATTACACATATTACATACAGCAAATTAGACGACCTAAAAGAAATGGGATATATGTACAAAGTGATTTAAAGTGATAAGGAGGAAAGGTCAAAAGGGCTGGTGCTAACAGGAAACGAGCACCCATGCGAGGCACAGCGGTCTAGGCAAAGAAAAGGGAATTATGCTTGCCCAAATTTCATAAAAATTTTAAAAAAAAGTTAAACACAAAAACACGATGTCCTGTTAATAGAATATAACCAGTGACATACCTCATATGCTTCACTTATTTCCTGAAACTTTTCAGCAGCATTAGCACCTTTGTTTGTATCTGGGTGGTATTTTTTGGCCAACTGAAAGAAGATAGTGGACAGTGTAAAGATAAGATTAAGTCTAGATGCAAAAATAAACAAATAGATAAATAAATAGATAAATAAATAAAAAACTACTCTTGGAGAAACTAAAACTGATATGCAAAAGATCCAGTTTTCACTAATTTGGCTAAGTGAAAATTATCTAGACTCCAACATGAGGAAATTTTCACACTTCATAATAAAGTTGTCTTATTTTGAGTTGGTGCACAGGCTTGGATCAGAAGATGAACCGTACGTGCTTAATTCATTGCATAATTCATTGCATCTACTGTTGGTTAACCCTTAAACTCCCAAGAGCGACAAGCATCTCATTTCTCTATACATTACCATCCCTGAGTCAAACATTAAAGTTGGGAGAATACTAGAAATGATCACCCACTCAAGAAGCTCTTGATTGATTAACACTTTCTCCCCTTCAATACCATAGGAAATGTATTAAGAACAGTATGGAGAAGATGCATACTGATGTTAGGGTGTTTAAATAGTTTAAGAGAATAAATAGGACCAGCTTCAGGAAGAAAATAAATGTGGCGTTGTGCTTGTATTTGAATATTCCACATCTTGAATTTCAAGTGATGTAAAACACCTCCTTTATTTTCTTCCCTGTAAAATTTAGGAAAAACCCATGCATGGGAGTCTCTACAGCTTCTCAATTATTTGTAGACTCTACCCTCATAACTGCAGCTGCTGCAAACTGCAGATTATGTTCCTGTTATAAATGGTACTAATGAGTGTAAGTATCAGAGGTGAATGTACACCCAAATACGGGCGATAAGTAAACAACTTGTTCTTTCAAAATACGACAGCCATTAAAATGAGGTTGATGACAATATCTTGCTGAAGATGCAATAGCAGAGGTATCACAATTTCTTTCCATTTATTTTTGTAAGAGATCATGCATAGGAATAAATTTGAAATGTCGTACATAAGACAATTTTGAAATTTCTTGAATACACATGCACACATTTAGGAAAGAACGAAATGTACATGTACTCACATTAAAGTAAGCCTTTTTTATTTCCTTTTGGTCTGCATTTCGTGGTACTCCGAGAATTTTGTAATAATCTTTCTTGTAAGTTGGATCTGTGAAATATAAATTTTCCGACATAAGTAATTACAGAATATTTCTAAAACATCACCCCTATATACCTATAAATACACGTTAGACAAGAAACGAAATTTCTTCGCATTGAACTGAAGTAAAAACGATGGGCATTTTTTTCTCAGTTCATGCGTAGCTGTCGACAAAGATCTATTTGTAAACAAGCCACATCGAAAAGATCAATCAAAATTTTAACTCGGACCGGCATTTCCAATATTTCATGGCATGAACACGTGGTTTGAAACTACGATCACCGCAAAAAAAATTACCGTTGAAACCCTTCTGATATTATTTGTTTTACTAACCTGACGTGTGAAATTCCCTAGGCGAAGAAATCGCTCCCAAAAATGAGGGGCTAATCTTACGCGAAGACGCTGAGGATAGAGAAAATAAAGTGGTTAAAGAGATTATGTAAGCTTGTTATCGAAAAAGTAGGGTTATGTCAGCTGATATACGGAAGCAAGTTCTCACCTGAAGAAAAGAAAATTCCACTTCTACTTGACGCAACCAGCAAATTATTTCCTATTCTTGAAAAATTGCGCACATTAAAGCCATGTCTTGATATGAGTGTCTCTCTTGAACAAAAAATGCATCGCTGTAGTAGCAGCCCTCCCTCTCGCCGAGCCGCCATGTTGGCAACCGACTGGGAAAGTACAAACATATGCGCACAGTGGTATGACGCAATGATAAATTACTATATTTGGATGAAGAAAACTGAAATGAAGAAAAGGGAAAGAAGGAAGAGACTGGGATATAGACCAAACAAGAAAGATCGTTCTTTGAGACAGACCAGTAGAATGAATCCCATTTACAAAAGTTGTCAACTTTTAAGCGCTAAGATGGACCAAAAATAAAATTGACTTCCAAATTAACCTAGCATCCATTTCTCTTCCGTAGGCGAAGCCGTGATCTGGGTTCGAAACAACTTCTAAAAGCAAATGTAAGTACAAGGTTTATATTACGGAGCTAAGATCAACGAAATGAGAACTTTTCCCCAAATTTTTTTTTTTTTTTTTTTATATCTTGAAATCTGAATGGTTGTTCTGAATAAGGGCTTTCTCATTCCCTGGATAAAGTTGCGGGACTTACAACTGATCGAGATGAGCGGCTAGAAGATGATGAATAATAAGATTTAAAGGCCAACTGTTGAAAGGTTATGATACTTGGATGGTCGACGGTGAAAATTTCTCCTTTCTGCTAGTTGAGTTATCAAATTAAAGCCGTTTAAAGGCTGACGGCAACCCCCCATTACCAGCCCTGGGTGCCCTCTTTTATGGTCTTAAACTAAAATCAAACAACCTTGAATTTTCATGAATATTCGCAGTCAACACATTAAGCGGTCTCTAATAAAAGGCATTGTATTTACAATAGTAAAGCAGGTGAATTGTGCGGATGCAGTGATCGAGGCTGTTACCGAAAAAGGCGCTATTTATAGGGCACTGAGATTTTATTTAGCTGAATGGAAACCTGGGAGCAAATACTGATTGCTACAAATTTCTGGAACAAACTTATTTTTGTCGTATTGGAAAAGATCGGATGTCTGAGTTTCATCACAGACAACGGAACTGAATAATGAATAAATAAATAATAATATATAATAATTTAGCAATGGACA